TTGTGACTTTTCCTACTGTCTGGGCAGAAGTGCCCAGCACCAGCCAATAGAAAGGAGATTTGAAGGCAAGCTAGAAGGCCTGGAACTAGCATGGCCTGGGACTGGGGCAGCCATAGAGATGAGCAGGCTAGAGTGGGAGTCTCCAGGCCTCTCCTCCCCTCACATGGGACAACCTAGAAAAGTGCCCTTTCCCCAGTCATACTCCTGTGCTGTCCACTCAGCCAGCCCCATATGAGAAGCCTCTTCTTAGACCTCCCAAGTGGCACTGGGTAAGCTAGCATTAAGAGTCAAGGCAAAGAACAGCCTGTAATCATGTGAGGTGGAATGGAGGAGTCTTCTTTGGTTCACACTTCTGGGTTCCTTCCAGGGACTTTGGAAGCCAAGCCACTATGGATACTGGGATATTTCTCCATCATCACACTCACTGCCCCTTGCTAAAGTATCTTTCAGCCCTCAATGTATCTGTCCTTGGTAGTCTGTGAGTGGAAAGGGCATATAATTCAAGTCAAGCATGCAGCAGTAACTCAGAACTGTTTATTGCATTAACAGATGAGATTTTCACTTCCCGTTTCTGGGTAATTCTCTGCCTCATTTGCTCCGAAGCCACACAAGGCCAAGGATAGGAAATAGCTTGGTGTACTACTTAGATACCAGCAGACACATCATCTTTGTGATTCTTTTTTTCCAAGGAAGATAGAAACTTTCACTCTAGAATGGTCCTCAGTTGAGGGTGTGTGACTTAAGGAGGCAGGGAGGACACTCAGAAAGCAAGATCTGCTGTGGATAATTTCTTAATGTCTTAGTTAGATTAGCAGCTCTGAGTTCATGAGAACAAGCCCTGCTTGGCTCAGAAGACAGAGCCCAGTTAGGCAAGGGCAGGAAGCAAGGTCCAGGGACAAGTGGCTGGGCTGCTGAAGCAGACAGGCCTTCCAGCAGTGCCTCCTCTGGATGGGGGCGGGGGGGGGACTACCGCAGCCAGAGACCCACGAAGCCCATAAGTGTTTCTGTGGCCACTGGAAAACGCTGGAGAGGGGAAAGGTAGGCGATGATGGGGTGAGGGGCAGAGGAGACAGCTGACTTTCCTCCAAGGAAGAAAAAGGGTGAGCTCAAAAAATATCAATATTTTTTCAAAATATCAACTATTGGCTCTTGATAGTTTTAAACACAGTCTTCACCAGGGTCCCCAGGAACCAGCAGGTTCCCATTTAACTGGTGGAGAAGTCCAATCCAAGGGTCCCACCCTTGGCTGCTTCAAGCTAACCTCACCCTATGAAAAAGGAAAAGACACGACTAGAGCAGTGTGCAGCTCCTCAGACCTGGAAGGGCAGTTTGGGACATCCAGGATCTGACTCCCATTCCCTTACCTGGTTAGTCAGGGCCTTATCACACTTCAGCCCTCTCTGTAGCACCTCACCAGGAACACTGGGACTAGGAACGGTATTCTTCTCTGAGTGCAGCAGTCCCAAGTCCCAAGGCCGTTGCTGCCTACCTGGGTCCACTTTTAAGGAGGCACAGGGCCACTATAGTAGAAGACAGATGAAAGACAGGGTGGGAGGAAAGTAGGGAAGGGAGGAAGGAAAGAGGAGAGAGAGAGAGAGGGAGAAAGAAAGAGAGAGAGAGAGAGAGAGAGAGAGAGAGAGAGCGCACTGTGTGACATAAGTCAATTCTGTAGAAAAGGCCTCAAGAGGAAATTGCCTGTCAAATAATTTCAACAACCAGCAAATGAGGTTTTCCTCCCACTTCCTGCCATCCATCTCCATTTCTCTTTTCTCCTCCTTCCCTTGGTTCATTCCTCTGGCAAGCAAGGTCTCTTCCATACTCTCTCTGTCTCTTCCCGGGGTCAGCTGAGAGCTGCCTCCTTGATGATGCTGCACTAGAAAATTACAGACACTACAAATCTCAGATGATTCCAAATTCCTTTATGCCTCCCCCAGGACCTGGCTCCGGACATGGCTCCACCAGTACTCAGCAGGAAGAACAGCAGTTAGTCGAACCAGGGCAAGCATGCAGATGGGGCCCAGAGTCCTCTCATTCCAGCCTCACTACTGATGTCCCCCTACCCCAGACCCTGCCAATTCTTGTGTAACTCTGGAGGTTTACCCTTCCTAGTCTCCATTTCCTCATCCTCGGAAATACGGGGTGAAATCTTTTCAATTCTGTGGCTCCATAAGCTCTTACACTTGGATGGGCTCAAATGGGCTCGCATGAAGACACATATAGGTGGATACCATCCTGTGGCCTTGGCTCTAAGATCCACCCAGGATTGGTGGGCCAAAGTAGGGGTGGGCACTGGAAGGGTGACAGGAAATTCAGCCCCAGCACAGGGGTGAGCATAGGCGATGATGCTGGGACGGCCACTTAGGGTACCTGATACTCTCCTTCCAGCCTCAATTTCCTTGTGCTTGGAGGTAAAGCTTTTCAGAGTCAAGTAGACTCACCGTCTCCCCTTTTAAGGCAACAGAGATGAGACCACTGCCAGGCCCACTCTGGAGGCACTTGCTCCAGGGCCTTGCTTATCACCTACAGTCCATGTGGGCAGAGCTTCCCAGTGCTGAGGTCTACTCTTCTAAAGAACTCTTTCATAACTAACTACCTATCCTGTGCTGCTCATGGTGCCAGTCTCCCCTAGGTCACCATACTTGACCTCACAGCCCAATCACTCCTGGGGGGAGATCCTATCATTGCCATTGGACAAATGAGAAAAAAGAAGCTCAAAGAGATTGAGGGATTCGTACAAAGTCACACAGCAAATGAGTGGCAGAGCTGGGAGTAAACTTTGGCATTGGGACCCCTAAGTTCACCACACTACTATTGTGTCATTGCTGGAAACCCATGTGAGTAAACAGATAATTAATTATAACACTGATCCTGTGCTAAATACTTCACTGGAATTATCTCATTCAAGTCTCATAACACTTTGGTGAGAAAGAGAAATCGTCTCCATTTTGTAGGCACTGAGGCTGAGAGAGATTTTCCAAAGTCATAAATAGCTTGTCAGTGGTGCAGTCAGGTTCAAACCCGGGTATGCAGAAGATATTGGTGGAGGGAGAAAGAGGGCTCCACAATTGGCACTAAAGTGGAGGAAGGCTACTCTCTTCCTGAAGCAGAGCTCGGTACTACTTCCAGCCTCAGTGAGCCTGAGACAGGAGTGGGTTGGTGATAGAGGAAACAAGCATAATTGGCCTCTCCTTCATGAAGTCTGCAGGCTTATCTTTCTCAACCTTGACTTCCGAAAACCTCTTATCAGTCTTAACAACTATGGTGTCAACATATTATCTTGTCATCATATGGGGTTCACTTGAGAGAACAGGCCAGAAGTAAGCCCTTGCTTTCCTTCCTCTGGCTGAGTGAGCTTTTGTCTCAACCGTCCTCCCTGAAGGCTCTGAGCACCATGACTGTCCCATGCACTTTAGCTTCTAACCACTTATAAGCCCAGGAAAGCAAGGTCCATGTCAGCATGATCATACCACATCCGAGGAGTCCAGTGCAGTGCCTGACCCATAGAAGGCATTTCACGCACATTTGTCAGATAAATGAATTATTCGCTCATTCAATTCCACCACCGTTAACTGGGTACTTATTATGTACTGGCATGGTTGATTCTGAGGTAAAGGTAATGGGTGCCTCCTACAGTAAGTCTCAATCCAGGGTACGGGCAGAATATCCATCAGTATCACCTTAAATGCTTTAAAAAATAATGTGCAGAATGAATGGACGATAACTCAGGGCAACCATGGAGGAATGAGCCAAGTTCAGCTGGGAACACTGGAAAAAAGAACCTCTTGATTTGCCTATGGAGTTACAGAAGGCTTTGCTGGAAGAAGACAAGATGTGATTTCAACCTTAAAGGATGTAGAATTCGTGTTAAGGACTCAGGAAAGGAGCCTTTCAAGCAGAGGGATCGGTTTGAGCAAAGGTATAAAGATGTAAAAGTATTGCTAGGGGATGGAGTAAAGCATGCGTAGGGCAAATGACAAGAGATGACACTTGGATATCAGGCAACACGTGTATTCCCCAGGGTAACTCACAGAGAAATTCAAACACATTTAATCATAATGACGTGAAGAAAGAAAATTTCTTGACATTAACATTATAACTAATAGGCTCGTCCTAATAATTGATTTAGATTCATGCTCAAGCAGAAACAAAATGGGATCAATCGTCTCGGTGAATGCATTTCCAAAAGCACCAAGGGAACTCTAGGGCCCAGGTGCAGAGCTTTTCTCATCTGAGTCTGGTTTGTTAGCCAGAAGGGAGCAGGGATACCAGCCAGCATTTCACCACCCGCGGGTCAAGCCCTTGAAGTGTCTCCTGCCACTGAGGGCAGAACTTTCCAGCTTCTTTTCACAGGACACAGCTCTGGCCAGGTTGCTGGGCCTTTCTACAGTGCCCAGAACAGGGGATAAGGGGTTTGGCTGGCTCCTTGAGGTTGCATAACAAAGCAAGGGGCTGCCTGCACACCAGTAGTCTCAGGCTCACTGGGAGTTCAAAGTCCCGGAGAGGAAGGCCTCAGTCGTCTGCTGGTTTGTCTGCAGTTTCCAGTTCCTATCCCAGCTTTCTGCCCATTTCCTGCTCAGGGTTGGGGATTTTCAGGCATAAAGGAAAAGTATCTGGGGACAAGTTTTACACAGAGGGTAATCACGCCGGATCAGTGGCCTGGAAAACTCGGAAGGAAAGGCAGTGTCCAGAGAGGGCGCGGGGAAGGGCTGGGTGGAAGGGCGGTGAAGCCCGCGTTACTTTGCCCAAGGCTGCAGACAAGCTCAGAAAACAGCGCGACTGGGAAGACCAGCCAGCGGAGACAACCAGCCGGAGCGCTGGGGGAGGGGAGGCGCTGGGGAGGAGGCTCTGCGGGCCTCCAGGCGTGTGTGTGTGTGTGTGTGTGTGTGTGTGTGTGTCAGTGCGCGCGCGCGTGTTTGAGATTGACAGTGTGTGTGTGTGTGTGTGTGTGTGTGCGCGCGCGCGCGTCTGGCGCCTGGCCAGGGTGATTTCCCATAAACCACATGCCCTACGAGCCACCCGCTTAAAAGGCTGTGCCGAGCGCTGGCCAGCGAAGCTCGGCCGGGGGAAAGTGAAAGTTTGCCCAGGTCCTCTCGGCGGCGCCGCCGCGCTCTCTGCAGTCAGGCACAGCGGCGCGGGCCTCGGCCTGGGCGCGGACTCTGCAGCAGCCAGCGAGCTAGCGAGAGGTTTAGCGCGGCCGACAAGCCCGGCCGGCACCCAGCTGCCCCTATGACCACGCGGGGCGCCGCTGGGCGCTGCCCTCCCATGGTAAGTAGTGCGCGGCGCGGGCCGGGGCCGGGGCCGGGGCCGGGGCCGGGGCCGGGGGTGGGCGGGGGCGCGGCGGCGGGGTGCCAGGCGCTACCCCTCGGAGCCGACCTCCCCGGCGCACGGCTGCCCAAGGGTTCCCGCCCGCGGCCTCAGGCTCGGCTCCCTAACTGCCTTTGCGCATCGGCTCCCGGAGCACCGACCGGCTGAATCGCAGCCTTGCAGCTGCTCATGGTACTGTGGTGCTTCCCTGGGGAAGGAAAGCAGTTTACCCCATTGCACGGAGGGGAACACTGAGCTGCCCATAGGCAGGAGAGAGGAGTTTGCAGACGCGGGTGGAGGCCTGGTGACAGGCAGGATGCCCTGCCTGTTTCCAGGCAAAAAGTATCTGAGCGCTAAGTGTGGCGCCGCTGTTCCCATGGGCAGCTTTCTCCGGCTAAACACGTGCTTCTAGGCTCTGGTGGGTGGGGAGTGGGCGCTTCTGGTTGGGAAAAGTTCAGGGGTCATCCAGCTTTAGAATGCTAGGGCCTGTGCTGAGCAACCTGCTGGCAGAGCAAAGGAGATAGGCAAGCCATTACTTGTTCCAGCCCACAGGCAGGAGCTGCTGGGGACTTGGGTGGCTGTTTTGGGGAAACCTGGTCCCAGAGCTGCCTGGGGCTAGCTCCAAATCTCTTTTTCGTGCAAAGCCTTGTTCAATGAGTTATGAGATATGGGCTTCACGTAGGGAAGTGGAAGGAGGGTTTGGGGTTGCAGAGTTGTGGACAGAGGCTGCTCAGAGCCATAGAGGGGATACCCTGCCCCAACAGTGGCAGTAGCTGCTGCTGTTCTTAGAAAATCCAAAGTGACACTGTAAATAAACAGCAAGTGGTCGCATAATGTGTTTACTTTTGAGGAGCCCTGAAGGAGAAGGAAAAGAGAAACCCCAGAGTGGATCCACGGGGGTGGACATGCTCAACCAAGAGGCAGGAGATGGGGTTGGGAGGGGAAAGGTTAGGCAAAGAGAAGGGACTGGAGATGAGAGCAGGAGCAAAGAGGTGCAATACGCAGGAGGAAAGAAAAGGGTCCAGGTTTGGATGGGGGTTAGCTGAGAGCCCAGTGACACAAGGCCTCTCCGGAGACCTTGTTGAAGGGAAAGATGGACCATGATGGTGATAGGTGAGGATGCACGGCTGTGCTGTCCCACGTCTCTCTGAGCCTGCTGCAGAAATTCCTTCTCAGGGCTGCTCCCACAGGCAAAGGCTGAGGCTGGTGGGTAGGAGGAAGAAGGAAACCAGGAAAAGCCTCCCCAGCCAGATGCAAGCAAGAGCCTTAACCCTTGGGTTCCTATCTGGGTCCTCCTCTTGCAGCAGCTCTGAAGCCCTGGGTCTGGGGTGGCCCCCTTTGGCCATCTTCAAAGTCAGCCTCCTACATGGTGGCCCACTATTGATGCTTGAAGTGCAGCCCAAACCCAGGCATACCTTGGGTTAAGCATGGCCCTCACCTTGCTGTCAAACATCTGTATCTTAAAACACAGAGAATGGGGTTGTCTTCCTGGGCATCCTCTTCCCCAGAACCCCTTTCCTCCATTCCTTTCACACCTGGGGGTCAGAGCCTCAGCAGTGACTAGCCTGGGGCAAAATCTGGTGTGGCTGCCTGTAATAGGTCCTACGCCTGAGGTGTCTAAAGGCCTGAGCAGCCATTCCCACCCAGGGCTCCCTCCCCAACTGCAGAACCTGAAGTACCCTGCATGATAGTCCATGACTATCCTCCCCTCTTTCACAGTCTCCCTCTCAGGTCAAGCCAATCCCTCACAGGCCTTGTGCTAAATGCATTGGGACCTTCTGTCCAGGTGCCTCCTTCCTCTCCTAGTGCCCCCACCCAGGTGACCCCTTCTGTGCAGGTGGGCACTTCTGGTTGGGAAAAGTTCAGGGGTCATCCAGCTTTAGAATGCTAAGGCCTTCCTCTCCTGTCATTAACTTCTCTCTGACTTTTAAGGCAGCATTAAGGTCCTTTATCCCTGTAGCCACCATAGTAGCTCAGCCAGAGCTGTCTTTGTAAAAACTGGCAGCACTCTGGCTTTTAGATATGAATCAGCATATTGTTGGGAGCTGCTTCATGGACCCCTATGTTTTTTCAATGTGCTACTTATTTGTAGTCATTGTCCCATCATCTGGATTACTGGGACAAAGCCCAGAGCCCAGAAAAGTGCCAGCCCTCATGCCACCCTGCCAGCATTTCCCTGAATTTGGGGCCATCGGCTGCCAGGAGGCTTAGGAACTCTCAGGGAACAACTTCTACCTGGGATGGGGGGAGCCCAAGGGTCCTTCTGCCTCCAGGTGGAGAAGGGAAATCCTAAGATCAGGGACGGGGGGATCTTGGGGAGGAGGAAGAAGGGAGGAGCAAAGAAAGGCAAAAACAGTGTCAGGAGCCAGTGCTATCTGGGACTGGGCAGTTACTGAGTGAGGTCGGTGCTGAAAGAAGGGAGACTTCTCTGCCATGATAAAAGCTGGCTGGCTGGATGCACAGTCTAATGGGACTGATAGGCAGGTGCCAGCCAGGGATGGTGCAGAGCTGGCATTATTGCCTCTGATTAATCAGTTGGGCATCTTTTTGAAACATACCCTCAGGGTTCAGAAGGGTCTCTGGCATGGGATGAGTTCCCAATGAAATTGAACTTGGTCCCCTGGCTCTTCCAGGGGCAGAGTCAGATCTGTGGAGAACCAGGTGTAAGGAAGGGCTAAGCCCCAGGGGAAATGTCTCTGGCTTGCAGTCTGGAAGCTGGTACCTGAACATGAGGGCAGCTTACCATATGCTTGACTTAGTGTTAATGTTACAGAGGTAGAATAATGAGTAGAAGCAGATCTTGCCTTGGAGGGGTTTCCTGTGCTATTAGAATTTAGACTAGTAGACACACCAGCTGTGTCATCATTAGAAGTTTGATGTGTAGCTAGGGTTGTCCTGGACTCATCTGGGAAGGCTTCTCAGACAAGATGGTATTTGGATTGTTTAAAAGGGGAAACAAGATTGTGGCTTGGCTGATAATAAATATGGGCACTATGATTTTGAGGATGCTACATCCTGGAGTATGAATCAGAGCCTGTAGTGTTAGAGATTTGAGACCTTTGATTTCTGTCCACAGTAGGGTGTAGAAGTCTCTGGGGAAGGTGAAAGCTGGAGAGAAATGACATGTTCTCTGTCACAGGCATGGCTATGCCCCTGGCTGCTGCTGGTCTTTCTCCTGGTGAGCAGGAGTATTGCTGAGGAGATGTCGGAGCACTGTAGCCACATGATTGGGGATGGACACCTGCAAGTCCTACAGCACCTAGTGAGTATGTGGCCATGCCTTCTCCTTCTGGGGAAACTGAGGCAGGAGCCAAGGAACAGTCAAAGAAGAGGGACTGCAGGAAATAGGGCTGTCTAGGCCATCCCTCCTCTGCTGATCCTCTCACTGACCTTTCCTAAGGTCAAGACCTTAGGTCTCCAAGCCCTGAAACTCTCCCTGACTACCCTGAAGGCTGACTATGGTGGCAGGCTGCCTGGGTCAGTAATTGCCAGGAACAGGCACTGTGCTCCTAAAAGGACTCGAAAAGGGCTCCTAAAACCTGTTTTGGCTCAGGGAATGAATGCCTCCTTCAGAAGACAGCCCTTTCTGCCGGCTGGTCCAGATGTTATGTCTAGCTCCTGGATTCCCAGATGTGCTGCCAGCCTGTCACCAGGGCCCCAGCCCAAACTGAAGGCGAGGCTCCTGCCTAACTCCAAACCCTCCGCCCTTACTTCCCTGGCTCTTGCCCCTCAGGCTAGAATGACCTGCTCATCTGGGCTATGAAGCAGCCCCTGTCTTGGCCTAATAGGACCAACAGAACTGTCAACAATTCCAAACATGGTCCAGCCAGGCAGTGTCCCTGTATTGTCACAGCCTCTGACCTGCCCAGAAGGGAATTTACCATCCCTCTGGCCAGCCGGGCAGGGTGGGGCACCACTGTCTGAGGCCTAGACAGTGGTTCATAAAAGAGGTTACTGTGCACCCAGGGCTCCAATCCTAGACCCTGTAGGCTGGGCTTTCCATTTCTCTTACCCCTACACCACTTCTTCTGGATGCATAGCCATAGCTATGCAAGGTAAACCAAAGGCTACAGCATTCTTTAAGGCTTAGAACATAAACCCCTACTCTGGGAGTCTAATGGGGGCTTTGAGGGCGTGTAGCCCTGGCCCCTATAGATACTGAATTCCCAGAGCTTGGCAGGCTTTGCTTGAATTTCTGCCATAATAGAGTCCTCGCTACCTCCAAAAAGGTTGTATTCTATACTCTACCATATATTTCTCATATAGTCTTCCTTATAACAAACTGGCATCCACAATTTCATGGAGTGAGAGGTAAAAGGAAAAGACTTTTTGCTCTTTTAAAGCCTGCCTCTAGGCATATGGAAGACACAGCCGTTCCCCCAACTTTGACTCTGTCTTTCCAGGTGTAGCTGGGGTGGGGAGGAGGCAGATTAAATTCAAACTTTGGTCCACCCAGAAACTTTGGAGCATGGACCATGGAGGAGCCCATGTCTTATTCTAATCGGACCAGCAGAATGGTCAACAATTCTGAGACCAGCTTGGCTAAGCTGTAGATACCCTGTAAGCACTGGCTTGCTCTCTCTTACAGATTGACAGTCAGATGGAGACCTCATGCCATATTGCCTTTGAGTTTGCAGATGAGAAACAGTTGGTGAGTGGCAGTCCATGTGTCAACCTGTATACTTCTCCTGTGGACTTGGGCACCTGGGAGCATGAAGGTAGCAGAAATCCTAGAGCTGGACAGGATGAAGGTGTGAAGATCCCTGAGTGCTCAAGCCTGGGGTGCCAGCAGGCAGGGCTGAAGAGTCAGGGCTCAAGTTCTCTGCTCTTCCCTTCTAGCTGGTTCCTAAAAGAGGTTACTGTGTACCCAGCACCTTTCCAAGTTAGGCCTAACAGTAGCACTAGGTGGTCCACGTTCATTGCTTATTATCCACAGAAAGGTTAAGGGAGCATAGCTAGTAAGTGGTTGAAGCCTGATTAGAACTCAGGCACCTTATATCTAGGGCCTAGGAAAAACAGATACCCTTTTCCCAGATTCTGTGCTTTGGAAATCATGTCACCTCCGTTATCCAGACAGCCAGCAACCAGGGAAGCAGGTCAGCCCACCTTCCTAACCCACACCCAGCCAGCCACCAGATGTGGCTGGTTCTGCCTCCCAGCCAGCCTCTCTAGGCTTTGCCCAGCCTCCCCAAGTCAGTCACTGGGACAATTTCAGGAGCCTCTCCTGTCTCTCTGAGTCTGTACCCACCCCGTCCTCCACTAGGGGGAGCTTCGTGAAGCCCCAACCTGCTCCCTTCATTTCCCTCCCCAAAACCCCTCTGGGCCCCATCTCTCTAGGAGAAAGCTCAGGCTGTCTAGTCAGGTGTCTCCATACACAGGTCCATACCTATCCACCTACCCATCCCTCTTCCCTGCTCCTTATTGCCTCTGAGCCCTTGCTGGTGCCGGTCTCCCCTCAGTGAATACCACAGTGCAACCCCCTATGCCATGCCTCTTCATCGGAGTTCGCACATACCAAACCGGCATACACCTCCTTTAAAACTGAAGACCAGGTTGTGGTCCAAAGAATGGCCTCAGTATTTCATTTATTCACTCCTTCACGCACTCAGGGCATTGCTAGAAATCCACTGGACCAGGTGCAAGAAACAGAGTTAGATTAGAGTTTGTATCTACAAAGCAACTGCCATCTTTTCAGGGAGACAAGACACTGAAGATATTCTTTGGACCATGGGATAGTCTTCAGTACCAGTATTTTCTGGAGGATTGGACAGTGCCATAAGGCAAAGGACTTCTGTGAAAGCAAGCTGAATGGAAGGGAGAGAACATACATAGGGGTCTGAAGCCAACCCTCTGTATGCATATCCATCCTGATTAAAGCCTTGTATTCCAAAAATCCAAAGATCTCTCTAATCATAATCTATGTTCCCTTTGCTTTAGTTCAGTCCCCAGAGTGCTAGGTTCCAAGAGAGAATGAAAGACAACTTGAGGGCAGCATTCTCCTTATCACTAATGTGATGCACACCTTCCCCAGGGGTGAGAGGAGAGCAGGCTGCAGTTCTTCACGTACCTGTGGATGGCAGGCATCTAGCACAAGATTTGGCTCCCAGGCCCCACCTGTCAGGCCATGACCTCTTGGTTCCTGCTTTTCAGAAAGACCCTGTGTGCTACCTTAAGAAGGCATTTCTTCTGGTGAAAAACATAATGGAGGACACCATGCGCTTCAGAGATGAAACCCCCAATGCCAAGGCAATTGGCCAGCTCCAGAGACTCTCTGTGAGACTGAAGAGCTGCTTCACCAAGGATTATGAAAAGCAGGATAAGGTAAAAGGGTCCTGGACCTGGAGCACTGAGTAGGGTGATGGGTTGCCACTCTAGGGGCGGTACTAACCCTGCCCACTGCTCAGAGTACATTCACTCACCTCCCCTCATCACTCACTCACTCATTCAATCCATTCATTGATTTACTCTGCAAACCTTTACTTAGGACTTGCAAGACAGGAGGCACAGTGCTGGGCTGTGGTAGTGTCCTCAGAACAAGAAATTCATGGTTCCCATCCTTGCGGAACTTAAGGTCAAATGAGGGTGGGCAGCTGTTAAATGATGGCACACTACAAACCAGCAGAACTGTTTGTTCATTCAGCAGATCATTATTGAGTGCCTATTGTGTACAAGGTGCTGTCCTAGACACCAGGAAACAGCTGTGATCAAAACACAAAAATCCCCACAATCACGGAGATTACATTTGGGGATGGGTGGGACAGTTAATAAAACATACAAATAAAATGTGTGGATGGAGAATAGTGATACCTGCATTAGAAAGAGTAAACCAGGGGAGGGGAGACATGCAAGTGGTGAGAGAGTGAGCCACAGGCCTGGAGGGAGTAACAGGGAACTCTAAGTGAGAATGCAGAGAGACAAAGAAGATTTCCAAGTGAGAAATAGTAACTGTAATTCCAAAGATAAGTAAGAGAAAGCAATAAGGCCGGAAGAACATTCTGGAACAAGGAATGCCACACACAAGCAATGTTATGTAATGCTATGCTCAGCAGGAAGGTACACGTTCAGGTACCCAAAGGTGGTTAATACAGCCAAGGCATGGAGAAGGCAGGAACCAGACCACATGGGCTACCAAAACTGTGATTTTTTTGTCTTCCCTTCGAGGGAAGCCATCATGGACTGGCAAGCAACCTAATCTCACTTATGTTGTAAGAGTGTTCTGGTTGCTGTCTAGAGAATGGACTATAGGGAACAGGAATGGAGGCTGGGAGACCAGCAGCAGGCTCAAGTCTAGGCCAGAGATGGTGGCAGCTTGGATCAGGGTGGTTCAGTGAAGGCAAAAGTGAGCAGATGCATTCCAGTGGGCTGGGGCAGACCCGACTTCGTTTATGCAAGAGGAGGTGAGAGGCAGAGGCAAGGGAAAAATCAGACTGGTTTTGTCTTGAGCACCTGGATATTTCAATGATGCCATAATGGCAATGGGCAGGGCAGGCCTGGGGGGAAGAGCTGGGTTCAGTATTGGACACATCAGACCTGAGATGCTTGGGAAATGGCCAGGTGGAGACCCTGAGCAGGCAGCTGGAGGTGTGAGTCCTGAGTGTGACTAGCAATACACAGATATGTGCAGGCGTGGCATGAAGGCTATCTGTGAAGTCACAGAGCTGTATAGTGTTGCTCCTTGTGAGCGGAGAAACAGGCCCAGGAACCCCGGCATTTAAAGGTCAAGCAGAAGAGAGTTGCCTGACAAGGAGTGGCTTGTAAAGGAGACCAGAAGAGCGTTGTGTCTCTGGGTGTCAAGATGAAGGAGGAGCCAGCTTTTCAAATGGTGTGGAGAAGTCAAGCAAGATAAGGGCTGAAAAGCATCTGTTGGATTTGGCAAAACTGTCATCATTGTTATAGGCAGATTGGGGTAAACAGAAAGAGAAGAAGTGGAGACAACACTGTGGAGAAACTTTGTTCTAAAAGGCAGCAGAAGAGATGTGGCTGGAGGGAGAGTGTGGCTGTGGGGAAAAAATTCTTCAGTGAAAGATATTAAACCTGTGGTTTTCCAACATTAAGGTACCCGAGAATCACTGGGCTGCTGGTTTAAAATGTAGAATCCCAGCCGACTCCTAGAGACTCTACTTCACTGGGTTAAGAACCTGTGCCATCCGACTGAAATAGAAGGTTCTTGGGGTCATTTGGGTAGACACCCATTCACCCACAGAACAGCCAGTGAGTGCTGAGGGTAGGCCCAGCAAGGAGGGAGCCCTTCAAACCAGAGGAGCTGGCCCAGTGTGAGTCTGCTGGGAAGATTGCAGGTCAAGGTTCAGAGCTCCCAGGCAGGGAGGACACATCCTCTGCATGAGATAGGTTGGGTGTCAGGGCTTCTGGCTGAAAATCCTTATTTCCCTTGCAAATCATGATGTGAAGTGTGAGGGACACTGGTTTGTAAAGAGAAAGGCAAGCAAGAACCAGCAAGCTCAACTTCCCTCCAGCACCCTGGGGAGAAGCTTGATGGGGTGCTGTTCTGACTTCACAGATGAGGAAATGAGTCCAAACTCAACAGTGTGTTTAGTTGTTGTCACCTAGATGGTGAGTGATGGACTAGGCTGTGTCATCTCATTCACACATTTATCTGGTAAACATTTATTACAAGCCTACTATGTGCAGTCCAGAGGGAGGCAGCGATGCCCTCAAGGACTTTACAGCCTAGGAAAGTCCATAGTTCTTCCCTGTGTTAGCTCAGTTTAAGGAAAAACTTGGTGCTTGGGAGCCATTGGCAAGTAGGCCATAGATGAAGTCGTGGGCATGCATGCCTTAGCATGGTGTGAAATTAGAGGTAGGACCAGGACTGGAATTCCAGGACTGAGGAATTCTAACATTAGAAGTTAGGAGCCTGCAAAGTACAGTGAAGCAGTAGCTGGGGAGGTGGAAGGAAACCCAAGAGTGTGAAGCTTCTCAGCTTCAGTGGGTGTGGGAGCCTGGTCCCAGGGGCAGAAGAGAAGAGAGCCACTTGGCAAACAGGCCTGGGCCATCGTCAGTGCATCCTCCAAGTTGCGCCATTGCCGGCAAAGGACCCACCCCCTGTGGCTGCTCCATTCCATTCTCCGCACCATAACAAGATGATTTTTCTAAAATTCAAGTCTCATTGTTCCACTGCCAACCTCCCCCAAAATCTTTTGGAGTTTCCCTTTGTTCTACAGATAAAATTAAAAGTTTTTGACATGGTCAACAAGGCCCTGCAAGACCAGGCTCTGGCTGAACTCCTTCCAGTTGTGTGGAAGGACTCAGTGGTGGATTCAGTGTCCAATTCAGCCAGGAACCATCTCTCTCTTGTTCATTGCTCCGTACCCAGGTAACGCAACTAAATGCCTGGCACATAAATATGTGTGGATAGATCCATGAATAAATGACATATCTCACAGCCTCAGAATGAATTCTGCTGCAAACTAGAGGCAAGGGGAGGAAGGAGACAAAGGGGGAAAAGGGGATTGATGTGAGAAAGGCCAAGTGAATTTAACAAACAAGATAGTGACACGAAACCAATGGTCATGCTCACCAAAGGGGCCCCTTCTCTCCTTCCAGGCCTGTGTCCGAACTTTCTATGAGACTCCCCTCCAGTTGATGGAAAAGATCAAGAATGTCTTCAATGAAACAAAGAATCTCCTTGAAGAAGACTGGAAGATTTTCACCAAGAACTGCAGTGACAGTTTTGCTAAGTGCTCCATCCCGGGTAAGCACTGAAGGGGCCAGCAAGTGGAAGATGACATATGGGGCTGGGAGGACCTGGCTGCTACATGTGTTTCTGTAGATGTAGAGGTGCTTGTTTCATGTACATATGTGGCTTCATATACCTCGGAGTCTTTTCTGACGTGTGTGCATGCACACCTATGTATATCTGCATGTGGAAGCTGGTGGCTGTGAGGTTAGGGAGTGGAAAGGAGGCCCTCTTTGGGGAAGTGATGTAGGCATGGAGGAATTCCTCCATCCCCGGCTCTGTGGACTGGCTAAACCTATGGGGGTTCCATGGAGAGAGCAGACACTCCATCTGGGAGTCAGGGCCCTTGCTCCGAGAGCCTTGCTGTGAATCACCAGGATACCCTGGCTCCAGAAGTCCCCAGGATGCCTTGGGTGTCCCCTCAAGGGACAAGGCTGGATTTGAAGTCCGAACATCATTCAAACTCTTCTGTTGTTGGCTCAGCTTCATACTTTGTACCCTGTGTGTCCTCATCTCAGCGTCCTGTGCCACGTCCCCTACTGCCTTCAACCTTGCTCCCCGAGACAGGGGCTGAGGCCCTGCAACTGGCCAATGGCCAAGTCCAGTCTCATTGTTTCAATCCCCAAACCGCAAGCTTTGGTCATGTTCCATGCCAGCCTGTTCCTGTTGGTGGCTGTGTCTGTGTGGCTCCTGTCTGAGTATGAAATCAGCATTTTGGGGTGCTTCTGTGTCTGTTAGTTGGGAGGCCATGGCTCAGTCTCTTGGCTGCTGTTCACCTCTGGCTTGGCCTCTAGCCAGCTGGAACCCCAGTACAAGTTGTCCTCTGGTCTTCCTCACCTCGAACCCCAGTCTGTACATCCATGCCCCATTCTTTGCTCTCTGTCCATGATACCTTGCCCTCTATGCCTTCCCTGCTTGAGTCCTGTGTCATGAGCATTTGGTGCAGTCTGTACCCTTCTCTTCAGCCCCAGGGCTGATTTAGGAGATGAGAAACTGCCAGACCCATATCCCCCTCTTGGCCCCTCTGGGAGGGCTGTGCTGGAAGCTGGTGACTCTATCTCCTCCTTGTCTTTCTCTCTCCCCCTCTCTGTGGTTCTTTCAGATGTGGTGACCAAGCCTGATTGCAACTGCCTGTACCCCAAAGCCACCCCTAGCAGTGACCTGGCTTCTGTCTCCCCTCACCAACCCCTCGCCCCCTCCAAGGTTCCTAAGGCTGGCCTGACCTGGGCTGATTCTGAGGGGACAGAGGGCAGGTCCCTCCTGCCTAGTGAGGACCCCCTTCACACAGTGGACCCAGACAATCCAAAGCATCGACCACCCAGGAGCACCTGCCAGAGCCTCGAATCACCAGAGACCCCAAGCCTCAAGGACAGTCCCACTGGAGATTTACCACAACCTCACCCCTCTGCCGGGACCCCCAGCCTTGGGGTGAAGGACATTCTTGACTCTGGACTGGGCACTAACTGGGCCTTAGAAGAGGCCTCTGGAGAGGCCATTGAGGGTCCTGCACCTCAAGGGGCAGAGTTTTCCCCCTCTAGGCCAGAAGGGGGCAGCATCCAGGCACAACTGCCCATACCCAGCAACCTCCTCTCAGCATCTTCTCCACTCCCAATAACAGAGGACCAACAGCCACCCTTGCCTAAGGTAGACCCTGTGAGATCCACCGACCAGCCCAAGCATGACACTCCTGAGAAGACAGACCATTCATCTCTTCTGCCCACAGAGGGCAAGGAGACAGGCTCTACCCAGACCTCGTCAGTCTGGCCCCAAGGCTTCAGCAATCCCGCCATCCTTTCTGCTCAACCACAGGTTCCTGGAAGCCACTCCTGGGGAAATGTGCTGCCTCTTGGGGAGCTGGAGGGCAAGAGGATCACACGGAACCGGAGGAGCCCTGCAGAGCTGGAAGGAGGACGAGCAAGTGAGGGGGCAGCCAAGCCCCCAGCCCCTTTTAACTCCGTTCCTTTGACTGACACAGGCCATGAGAGGCAGCCTGAGAGAACCTTCAACCCCCAGCTCCCTGGGTTCGTCTTCCACCTGCTGGTGCCCAGCATCATCCTGGTCTTGCTGGCCGTTGGCGGCCTCCTATTCTACAGGAGGAGGCGGAGGGTAAGGAGATCCCAGTGAAGACAGGGGCGCAGAGCTCAGGCTGGGTGTGAGTGCAGGTTGCAGGATAACCTGAGCTCCACCTGGGCTCTTCAGATGCTGAGAGGTGGGGTCTGACCTAGCACAGAGGATGGGAAGTAGAAATGAAAGTCTGGTTCAAGAATCAGGAAGGTTCAGGCAGGAAGTCAATGGGAAGGGACCAAGCAAAAAGAAGTGGGAGAGAAGATTCTTGGGCTAACAGCAGGATGACAACCAGGCAGGAGGAAAAACGAGGAGAGCGATGCTGTACGTGGGATCTTCGCAGAGCCTTAGCATGAAGACCCATAGGATGTGACCTGCATGGGAGGGTAGTAGGGGTGTCCTCAGCAAAGAGGCCTTAGGAATTTCCTCCTGCCCTTTGCCTGCTCCTGACTTTTGGGTAACTGGGGGTAGGGTGTCTTGTAACTTACTCATTAATGGCTGGGAATGGGGCCACCATCTCCCTCCCCTCTCCCAACTTCTCAGTGGACCTGCTCTTTTCTGTCCGCAGAGCCATCAAGAATCTCAGACAGTGGATTCCCTCATAAGGCACCCAGAGGGCAGGTGAGAGGTTGGGTAGGGCTGTGGGAGGCATTGGAGGTCTGGCTTGGAATCTTCTTATCTTCTAGACTAGGGTGGGGGAAGTTTCCCCAACTTGCTGTGAGAAAATGGAGCTATGGAACAGAATGGAAGTGGAGAGGGGGAAGGGCCTCTTTTCTTTCCTAGATGCCTGGGGTTTTTCCTGATTTCTTCCTAGAGTTGGGCAATTCTGAGTCTTCTAACTCTGAGAGGGGTGGAGTACGTTCTGTCTGAGGTTGAGGGTGAGCCTATGGGGACCCCTCCCTCCTCTGCTCCTGCTGAAGTCTTATGCTAGTCCTGTGCTCTGCCTGCAGCTCCCTGACCCAGGATATGGACAGACAGGTGGAATTGCCAGTGTAGAGGAAATCCTAAGGTAAAATTCTGATTTTGATCTCTCTCCATCTCTCATCTGTTGCTGAAACCACCAACTCCCGAGGCCCAGACACTTAACTCCCTCCTCTCCATCCTGTTTCCTTTTCCATCTATCCATCCATGAATGCATCACCAAGTCCAGCCAACTCTCTCCCTTTCAGAGCCTCAGGTCTCCCCCCCGCATTCCCTCTACCCATCTGAGGCCAGACAATGCTATCTCTGCAGTGGGTTTCTAGTCTTGCTGTCACCTTCGATCCCAAAGCAGCCAACATTCTCTTCCTTCAGTATGGTTTTTGTAAGATCTTTACCCCCTTAGGGAATTTTCAATAGCTCTGTATGGCCAGCCACTTCCAACCCACCATTGGCTTCCAAGCCCCTCTAGCAGCCACCTTCAGCATGCACCTCATGCCAGACTGTTCCACATTGGCAGTCCTACTCAGCCAAGGTCATTTCTACCTTCCTGCCTTTGGAATCATTCTGGCATAGAATCTGAGTCTTGGGAGGGCTCTCAGAGGTCCTTTGGGCCTTAGACCACGCGAACAGGGCCAGCAGGCCCTGCATCCCCAACATGGAATCAGCCAGCTTCTTGACACATTGTCCAGTCCCTGGCAAGCTCTTTGCCTAGACACAGCTTGTGCCTTCTTCACTTAACACAGAGAAAGGCCTTCCTGTGTGGGGCAAAACTGCCTTTCCTGCCTCTTTGTCACTGCTCCTCCTTCCTCTTCTCATGAAGCCCTCAGACATTTAAAGTCAGCCATCTATGTCCCCTTTAAGAATTCTCTATGCTAAGCATGGCCAGTCCCTCAAATATGCCTTATATGGTATGGTTTCAGACCCCTCACCATCCTGGACACACTTGTTTGTCAATATCCCTCTGAAAATGTGGTACCCAGTCCTGGACCCAGTACTCCAGATGTTGTCTGACCGGCTCAGAGTGCAGTGGGACCGTTTCCTTCCTTGATCTGGACAGTACTCTTCATATGCAGATTAAGATTACATTAGTTTTTAATAACTGCATCATATTGGTGTCATATATTGGGCTTGTGGTCTATGAAAAACCCTAATTTGATTTCTCATGAACCTCTACCCAGCCAACCTTCTCCATCCTGCACTTAACTTTTAAAACTAAGGCACAGGAGTTTATACTTACCCTTGTTCAAACCACTTTGTTGGCTTCTGCCCATCCCCCAGGCTACTGAAAGTGTTTTTGCTCCAAATTCTGTCATCTTTGTAGCCTTTTAGTTGCGTCCCCTGCGTGTTGATGAATGTCTTCTGCTGGCCTTGCCCATGTTATTGATGAAGATGTGGTCTGTTATTCTTCCCCCACCCCAGCCCACCAGGAACCCTTTTGACTGTCTCCCCAAAGCTCTGGTTGCTCCTTTAATTCATACTCCTCTGCTATTTTGTGTCTTGTGAATACTATATTGGTTTGCACATATTTGATTGCTGGGTTTATACATTTAAAGATCTTATTTTATGTGTATATGTACCTTCTGCACTGCTAAGAAGATTGTAAGCCACTTAAGGGCAGGGACTGTCTTCCATTTTTTTTTTTTTTGCACTTCTTTTTCCCATTCCAGGTTCTAGTACAGAGAGAGTCTGTCCATACTTGTTGACTGGCAGACTTCAGGACTGGTTCACTGGCCAGCTTTCTTTAACTGACCAGCTTTCTGGCTGACTAATTAACCAGCTAATTGACTCTGACTGAAGAGCTGGTTGGGTGACTAACAAACTGATTAGCTGGTAACTGCCTCATTGTCTAGTTGTTAATTGGTAAACCGACTGGCTAACGGAATAGCTGGCAGATTGCCTAGCTGATTTGCTGACTGGATATCTGGCTGACTAGCTGGGTGATCCATTCCAGTTTCTAGTCACGACACTTACCATCTTAGGGTCTTCCAATGTGGAAGCCTGTCCTACAGAGACAAGAGATCTGGCAAAGGCTCAAAATTAGATAAATTCATTTGGAAAAACAGCAAACGTATCTGGAATTCTGGAGTCCCTCTCGTCAGTAGGGTTGGAAGAGATGAGTGAGTAGGCCAACTGGGACAATAGCAGAGCTATGAGAAGGACCCTGTTAGGTAAGCAGAGGATGGAAATCCCTGGGGAATTTTGGCTCAGTGCTGTACACCCCCCATCAGGGGAGTTTTCCTCCTCCCCCCACACCGTGGTCTTGGCCCCTGCCCTGAGCCCTCTGCCTTCCATTCTCTTTTCCTTGCCTGACTACTCTCAGGCTTGTTCAGGCTTTCCACTTTCTCCCCTCAAGACTTCTCTTGGAGAGGGAACCAGGGGAAGGGCCACACTGAGGCCCACTTGGCTCACTGGATCCAGTGGGTGGCCTAAGGTGATCCTTGAGTCAGGCACCAGCAAGGTAGACTGCTGCTCTGATGAGGAAAATGAGAGCAGGAAATTCAGAGGCCCCTGTGAGGGACGGCACCTCAGTCCCAGGGAACCTGGAGGTGGGAAAGCAGGCTGGAGCATGCCCTCTTTGTCCTTCTTCCCTCCTGGGCCGTGGCAGGGACTGTGGCCTGGCTGTACCAACATGGCTCATGTCCAAATTATAGCTCCCCCTTCTCTCCCCTCTAGAGCATGGGAATGGGCTGGGAGCCAGAGCTGTGGGTCCCATCTTCCCTCCTTACCCATCACAAGCTTGACCAGTAGGGCCATGGACATGAGGGAGGGAGGCGCTACACAGGGTCCAAAGTCAAACTGTTGGATGGAGTCCAGGGGATTTCTGCTCTGGGAACAAAGTGTTCTAAGGATGCTGGGCAAGGGGACAAGGATGGGGGTGGGGAGAGGGCAGGGCCCTGACTCTCTTGCATGAGGCAAGAGGCAAGTCTCTTGGCCCATCTGGGTGGCTGAGTGGCTCAGGGGTTAACATGCCTGCAGCAGGGGCAAGTTTCCTTGTGGATCTCTGGCCTCAGTTACCTTTGCCTCAGTATCATCTGCTAGGATACTTTCTGATGAAGGGCATGAAAGTGGAAATGTAGTTCTTCTTTGCTAGAAGTAGCAGGCATCACCATTGGTTCATCTGACATCTGAGTCCATCTTGCCTGAAGAAGGTTCTGCAAACACTAATGCATCCCCACCTCCAGGCCTCTCTGCTTGGGCAATGACCCCTCCTCCTTCTTGACCCTGACCTCCACCAGGCCTCATTACCTCCCCCTGTGGTCACTGTTTCCAGGAGGAAGTAGGAGGTGAGGCCAGACTGTCCAGAGGCTTGGGTGACTGCCAGGCAAAGCCACCTCTTCCCTCTGTGGTGTCTGGAGTGGCTAGGAGGGTGAGGGAAGGGATGGGAGGAAATCCTGCCTGCAGCACTGCCAGCAGCCCACAGGAATACCACACCTCTCCAGCCCATGTCCTCAGCGACCCTCTCCACATCCCCACTCGGCTGACCAGCCTTCCCTTCTCTCCCCTACAGCTGGGCACGCAGGACTGTCTCTCCATGAGAGAAGACGTGATGGGGCCGTCTGCCACTACCCTCCCCAGCTCTTCTCTGGGAAATGTGGCCTTCCTACCATCTGAGCTCCTGCCTGCCAGGACTGGACCAGAACAGCCAGGCTAGGGTCCCTATGCCTTGACCTCAGACTTTCGACCAACTGAGAGAGGGCCAGAGGACACCCCCGACACTGCCTTTATTTATTGTGGGCCCTGGAGGCTCTGTGAGCTTAAGGAAGGCTGGTGAGCTGGCTCAGGACCTTCTCCCTCAGGGGCTGCACCCTCTGCTTCTTCTTCTCTGCCAGCACCCGGGTCAAGGACCCACCTGCCAGTGGCATGTGGGAGACCAGAGTGGGTGCTGAGGAGCCATCTGGTACCAAGAGATTTCATTGTTGACATGCAGGGACCTGTCTCCAGAGAGGAGTCTTTGATCAGGGTGGGGCATCAGCCTGATTTCCTGTAAAGGCAAGCAGCCCAAAAGATAGGAAAAAAGAGGAGGCCTCTAGCAGTGTGCACTGACAGCTTGAAGGGATCTATACCCTCTACTCACCTGAGTGCCCTCCGCTGGTTGCCAGGTGGTGAGGGGAGGCCAGCTCTTTCCTCAGGACCTGCCTACCCTGACTCATGATGCCAAGAGGAGGACCTAGCTCTGGTCTCTACACCTCCTTCCCTTCAGCCCCTGCCAGAGCTTCTCCTGGAGGCCAGGCAGAGGCTCCCCTCATGAAGGAAGCCATTGCACTGTGAAAACTGAACCTGCCTGCTGAACAGCCTGCCCCTTCCATCCCCATGAGCAAGCATCCGTCCAAACGTCCTCCCACCTCTCCAGCCTCTCCCCAGCTTCCTGCACTGAGCTGGTCTCACCTGTCGACTGAGGGAGCCCCTAAGCCCTAAACTTCTCCTGATTCAACTTTTGACTCCTCGGGTGGAGCAGGTGGAAGAACTGCCCAGGCCATCAGCCAGAGCTGGTCTTTAGGCTGTGTGTTCACCCAGGTTTCTGCATCTTGCACTTTGACATTCCCAAGTGGGAAGTGACTAGTGGAAAGGAGAAAGGGAGGGAGGTGGAGGCAGAGAAGTGCAGGGAGAGCTCTGACTGAAACCAGGATTGAAAATATGAGTATGCCCCTGAGACTGGGGAGACATCTGCACCCCAACCCCTCAGTCCAGCCTACTTTGCCTACTGCCGGGAGGCACCTGCAGCTGAACAACTTGTCCCCATCAGGAGCCCTGGAGCTGGGCTGCATTCCAGCCCCACCTGCATGGTCCCCAGCTCTCCTCTTTTGGTCCTTCTTTTTTCTGACCCTTATAGGCAGTGACACCCTCCAACTCTCACCCCACCATCTCGGGCTAGGCAAGCCAGAGCTGGAGAGGAACCAGGAGACCCAGGCAACTGCTTCCAACTCTGCTCTGAGGACCTCTGCTTCCTGGGCTGGCCCCTGCCATGGCTCTGAGACCTGGGAACCAGGTGACAGGGCTGTCAATTGCCCCTCGGTCCCTTTTTGCTGCTGTGTCCCTCCTTTCCTGCCACCCTGGGCCCTCCACTGAGAGATCCTGTCCTCCCTGGCTGCTGGGCCTGTGACTTCCTAATCCTGCCAGAGAGAGTGAGGGTCTGCTGACCCACTGCCCCTGTCCTGATGCTGATGCTAAGGGAGGGGCAGCTGAGAACTTTCTTATGGGGCTCATCCTTCTAGTCACAGGCTCCATATTCCATGCTAGAAAATATATATTTTAAAATGGAAGGAAAAAAACAGAAAAAAAGGCATTCCCCCACATCTCTCAACTTTAAACATATAGTATTTAAAAAATCAAAACAGCAAATTCAACCAATTGCAGAAGCTCTTTGCGGGCACTTAGTGACACCATGGTGGGAGGAGCTCCAGAGCTACCTCTGGGTGTCCCTCTTCTGGCTACCTGCACAGGATCCCTTACTTTCCTCTGAGAAAGCCCAGAGAGAACATTGGCTCACGAACTGTGAGATTGTGTTTTTATACTTGGAAGTGGTGAATTATTTTATATAAGGTCATTTAAATATCTATTTAAAGAATAGGAAGCTGCTTATATATTTAATAATAAAAGAAGTGCACAAACTGCCACGTGTGAGTCATGGGAAAATTTGCTTTTGGGGTTGTAGATGACAAATATAGGGGTGGGTGGGCACACATCAGCTGCTGGGTGAGCCCCAGCTCAGAAAGCTTTTTTCAAGGGACATGGGGAAGAAGAGCTCTCTCCAAGTTTCAGTCTTGTTACTAAAACCTCCTGTATTGCTGTCCCAAACACATTCATCTACATATCTGTGCAATAAGAAATTAGGCAAAAGCAGCCAAACCTCAGGCCTGGCCACTGGCCCCAGTTCCAGCCCAGCCTAGCCCAGTCCGGGAAAATGCTGGTTGGGCTCAATCCAAGGGCCCCAGGGCCCTGTGAGGAGAAGGCTCTGACCACTGAACCTTTGGTCCGTGGGCGAGGGAGCTGGCCAGGTACCCACAGGGTGCTGAGATGAATGACCAATGACTCAAGGCTGGGAAAGGGACAAAACTAGTGAGGAGCAGAGCCTGCCCTTTGCTTGAGGGACCTTAGGGCCTGATCTTCCCACTGAAAGTGGAGGGGAGACCAAGGATGTGGCCTTTCATGGGGAAAAGGGCCATGTGGCCCAAACTCACACCCCAGGTAAAGCTGAGACATCTCCCAGAGATGTGGTGGACAAAGTTTTGGATCATCTGGTGTTCTCAAAAATACTGACATCCAAGCTGTACCCAAGATCAAAATACCAGGATCTTGGGCAGGGACCAAGAATGGAAATTTGTAAGACATTTCAAATGACTCAAATGAGATCCAAGGCAAAAAGCACCCAGAGCCACACTGTTGGATATGGCCTCTGTGAAAGTTTAAATTCATTAAAATGAAATAAAAGTAAGCATTCAGCTCCTCAGCTTCACTAGTCACATGTGGCTGCCATGTTGGACAGCACAGAAATATGACATTTACATAATTACAGAAGTTCTACTGGATAGCACTGCCTACAAGGCTGGGTCCCTACACTTAGAGGACCAAAGATACAGGACCAGGACTGGCATTAAGTGGTCAGGTGTCTCAGTCAACTTATCCTATGTTTGCCGCCCCGCCCCCCCCATTCCTCACCATTTCTCTTTCTACCCAAAAGCTGCTCAGAAAGTTTTGAAGAAATATTTTTTTTCCTTCAAGGTTTTAATTTTAAAACGTCTCCTCCTCTGAGAATCCTCCCCAGACTGACTCAAGCCCCTAAGGGCCATCCAGGTTTAGCTCCTTCCTCTCCTGTGCTCTTCCAGACTTAGCACCGGTTTTCCTGTCCATCTGTCCCATCAGGCCATAGAATGTGGCAGGAACTGTGTTGTTCTTCCTCGTATCCTAGGAGTTGAGAGTACCCTGGCACACAGCAGGTGCTCAGAAAATGTGAATCATGAACACATGATTAAAGACCTGATCATGGGAAACTCTCACCAGATTTAATCAACGCCATCATCTCCTGGGCCCTCTACTGGTATTAGACAATGGATTTAATACCTAATAAGTACAATATCAGTGACCACACAGGGGAAGTATTTTCAACAGAGAGATCTTGCTGTCTTCTGATGGAGAAAGGGCTAGGTTAAAACTCTATTCAATCAGAGGGTTGTGTTCATAGAAGATATATTTCAAAGCCTTTAAGCAATGATTGCAGGGAAACAAATAAGAACAGAAAATTCTACCCCTTACCTGCCTTTCCAGAAGTCCCAGAAGTGCCAGAGTTCCTCAGCAGCCCTTTATCTGGGTTTGACTTGCTGCAGGTGCTGCTTAGGAAGCATCAGCCCTCTAGAGCACTGTTTACTGGATTTAGAGTGAGAACATAGCTCTTTGGCTTCTATGTTTTATTGTCTAGCTATGTGATCTTGACTAAGATGCTAACCTCTCTGAGCCTCAGGTTTCTCCTCCTCTGTGGAACTGCTTTCAACCAAATGTACTTAAACTGATATTCAAATAAAGTGACAAGCCCAAAAGCACTTAGTGGCTCCAAAGGGCTGCAATAAATAGTGTGCTCTGATGCTGCCCCTGCCAGGTGGTCCTAACAGTGCCCATGCCAAATAGTTTCCTTCTGAACATACACGGGGAATGAGGATGCTTCCAGGGCCTGGCTGATCTCTGTGGAAGGTGGCAGAGCTGCCTGCTCCCTGCAGGGATGAGGGGTTTTATGTGCTGGTTAGCAGGCAAGGTCAGGAACTCCTGTTCAGAGAATATAAGCAGAAGGGCCCAGCCAAACCTCTAAACCTCTATCCGGCCAGAGGCAGGAAAGTGAATCAAAAGCAACCAGGAAGAAGTCTGAGGTTAACCTCGTGCAGACTGTGGGCCATGGTAAAGAAGGGGTTGGTGAGGGTACTGGGGTCTGGGCAGGGCCTGGTAGGCATCCCGCGACCCCTTGAGCAAGGCTCTAAAGTCACTCGGGGGTGGGGAATGACTAGGCAGCTGTGGAGAAAAGAGGCCGAGCTTCCCAGCCAGTGTTCCTCCCCTGCCCCGGCGAGGTCCTCTCTGCTAGAGCAGCACTTTTGTCCCTTAGTTTTCCACTTCAGTTTCTTGGTGTGGGTGAGGGAGTAAAAGGGGTTGAGGGAGTAAGCAGGCTCTGCTGCCTTGGATGCTGGGACTGCTGAGGGCGCAGCATGGCCTATGCCAGCCTGGAAAGGCCCACAGCAAAGTGGCTGAACACAGAGAGGCTCACTCCCCCTTCAGAGGCTGTGGCCTGTCTCCAGTCTGGGACTATAGGAAAGCTCACTGGCTTACCCCCATAGTCCTGTCTAGAGCCTACACTGACTCATCTCCAAAAATGGGTGGCTGGGAGTCAGAGGAGGATATGGATGACAGCCATTGCAACACCTTGAGCTCTGTAGGGACAGTGCCGGGGCAAGCAAGGGCTGGATGGGTGGTTTTGTGCCTCACAATGGAAAAACAACTAAACATGTGCAAAAGCCTAGGAAGCTGAGGAGAAAGTGTCATTGTGTACATGCTTTGTGCAAACTTGCCAGGAAGAGCACAAGAAGAAACACTCGGAAGCTTTTGTCCACTTTCCAGAATTTTCTAAGAAGTGCTCAGAAAAGTGGCATGCCTTTTCTGTGAAAGAGAAAAGAATCTGAAGACATAGCAAAGGCCAGCAAGGCCTGTTATGAAAGAAAAACAAAAAAATCCCTCCTACAGGGGAAACAACAAAGAATTTCAGGGAACCTGAGGTAACCAAGAGGCCTCTGTCAGCTGTCTTGTCCTATCCCGAGTATCATCCCACATCAAAGAAGAGCATTCCTGCCGATTCACTGGCAGTGTCACAAATAAATTGGGAGATGTGTGGAATAATACTGCTGAGAGTGACAGGCAGCCTTATGAAGGCTCCTCAGCTGAAGGAAAAATGCAGAAAAGATATTGCTGCATGCAGAGCTAATGGAAAGCATGGCACAGGGAAAAAGGGGAGGGAAGCTGAAAAAAGCAAGAAAAAGAAGGAAAAGGAGGAAGAGGAGGAAGAAGAGGAAGAAGATGATTCTATTGGGCGCAGTGGCTACTAGGGAGACTAAAGTAGGAGGAACACTTGAGCCAGGAGTTCAAGGCCAGCCTGGATGTCATAGCAAGACTGTCTCAAGAGAAAAAATGATGATATTGAAGTGGGTTCTAGCACAATTTTTTCTTGTCTATAAAACATGTAAACCACTCTCTACACACAACTTTCTCCTTTTAAAGAAAAAAAAATTGAACATAAGGCTGTATAAATTTGTTTTTAAACTGTTCTGTATTCTTTTCTTGTATAGTTAACTCACTACCAAATGTGTCTTTAGAAAGCCCTGTCCTGGTGGTATTGTCAGTGGCCTCTAACACTGCTTGTTAAACAATGAAGGTTATAAATTGGTGTGGAAATTTAAAGCAGGTTATGTTCATGCACAGCGCACATTAATTATATGTTGCAGATTGTCAGGGCTTTTTTCTCAATTTAAGTTGGTTCTGATATAACTTATACAAAATAGTTTTGTTAACAGAATATCACTCTATAATTGCAAAAAAGTTACAGCTGTTTCGTTGACATTCTGAATGCTTCTAAGCAAGTAAGTTTTTTAATTTAAGAAAAAAGAAAGAAGTCATACATTGGGGTGATGGAGGTAGGCTGTGTCAGGAAAGTTGTCAGGCAAGTTTCTTGCAGAAAGGCTAGATGAGAGTCCTAAATTAGACTCCAACTGCAGTGGTCCACAGACCAGACCCCTGCTCTGAGGCCCTGGACACCTCCGCTGTAGTCCCTTTGCACCTATGCCTAGTGAGGTCTACAAAGGCAGGAGACTTATCCTCATTTATTCACTCAGTTTCCCATTTCTAGACACTGAGGATGTAATTAAAATAGTGAGTGGAGGAAGCAGGTATTAGTTAAGCAATCACACAAATAAGTAACTAGTTATAAAATATGAATGAAGCTAGAAATATTCAGGTGCTATGATAATAGAGGACCCAAGCTAGGGATGTAGGTCCATGTAGAAAATGAAGGCAGAAGAAGCCATAGAAGGGTTACAGGGGTGAGAAATGGTCCATTCCTTCTCATTTTCCAAGGCTGCCAACAAGATAGAATGGAAAACTATTTACTAATTATATGGTATGTGTGAGGCACTCTATAAAAATGCAATCTCATTCCATCCTACTACATCCCTGCAAGCTAAGTCCTAATGTTCTCTTTGACAGATACAAAGCTTAGCTTAGAAAAACTTAATAACACAAGCTCAAGGTCCCAAGTTCGATCCCTGTTGCCAAAAGAAAAAAAGAAAAACTTAATAACAGACAAGTTCACAGCAGCTAACAGTGGCAAAGCCTGTATTTGAACCCAGGACTAGCTGTATTCAAAGCCCATACTCTTGTCACAATATCACACTCTTATAGGCATTTAACAGATACCTCTTGCACAAATGGACAGCTCAGGTCAATCTGGCAGTCTTGGAGAGTCTCAAAACCTTAGTATTGTCTTTTTCTTCCCTTTAGAAGGATTGTGTAGTCTGGAAATGGGCAAAAAATGCACTTGATAGACCTTCCTCTCTTGGTTCTTCTGCTAACCCTAAAAAACCAGGAAAGA